TTATATATAGAGCAGCTTTTAGTTTTATAAAAATTAAGAGTAATTTTTTAAAAAGAACCTAGGATATACATGTAGAATTGCAGTAAGATTTGTCTGATGGTTTGCTATACTGCACTGCTGGAGACTTACTTCTATGACATGTTATTCGAAACTATTGCAAGTGCTTTTTATTGTCAGTGGAATTAGTGTCAGGAATAAGAAAATTCTGTTTTAGATCAATCAAGCAGAGCTTGTGCAAAAATGAAAGACCTTAGTTTCCTATTTTTTATCTTATACCTGATTTGTTTTTTGAAGGAGGGACTTTAGGTTAGATTCTGGCAAAAGGTTTGAGATTGGGAAGAACTTCTTACTCAGAAAGGTAGAAGGGCTTTGCAAACGATCATGCAGCTTTTCTTTATAAGTGAGGTTGATGCTTCTCCCCCAGTCATGTTTCAGCCCCTGTGTGACTTGTTCCTCCAGCAGATATATTTTTGCTATTGTCTTTCACACTCCCACCTGACTCCTCTTATGATCCACAATGTGCCATCCAGGCTAAGAGTTTGTAGACTTAAAGCAAATGAAACAAACTGGTTTGTAGTGGATCCACCGCTTTTGGCATCATTAGTGTCATGTCCCCATCAACCAAACTAGAGAGTTAAAAAATAAATGCCTTGCTTGAGCCAGGGCCTGATGATTTTAAAATTAGAAGGAATCTAGTAAGCGTAGTATACTATCTAGAATAAATCTAATAAACTGAAGTAGTGGGCGAATGTGAGTATTCAGCTTAAAATAATTATTGTTTCTGATTTCCATAAAATTACCGTTTCCTTTTGTGATGTGCACTGGATAATTATTTTTTAAATAAGAAAAGGTCAGTCTTTAAGTTGTAGAGAATTAAAAGTTAAGTTTTTCAATAAAGTGTTAATTAGGAAAAGTTTCCAACAAGAGTTAATTTAACATGACAGCAGTAGAAGAAAGGGAAATACGTAGATGAGACTGCAGCTTACGCAGGATCACATCTGCCTAAGAACCTCTGCTGTGAACAGCGCTTAGCGCATTTCCTTGCGCAATTTACTTCACCTTTCTGTGCCTTCATTTTCCCATCTGGGCAATTTGAATACTAGAATCTACCTCATAGGGTTGTTATGAAGGTAGAATTAGTCATTGTATTAAAAGCTCTTTGAATAGTGCTTGACACAGAGGCAAAGCTGGCTATGTGCATGTTAAAGACCTAAGAATGATTAGTGAAAGATATGTGGGAGCTACTTTGGTGAGGTACTTTTTTTTTTTTTTTTTTAGTGCAAAAAAAAAATTTTTTTTCTTTATTGATTTTAGAGAGAGAGGAAGGGAGAGGGAGAGAGAGATAGAAACATCAATGAGAGAGACCATCGACTGGCTGCCTCTTGCATGCCCCCACTGGGGATTGGGCCCACAAGGCCCACAACCTGGCATGTGGGATTCGAACTGGCGAACTCTTTTTTTTTTTTTTTTAATGCATATAAGTTCTTTGGTTTATTTCTTCCCACCACCCCCAACCCCTTTCCCTTTGAGGTTTGTCAGTCTAGCAATGAATTTGTGCTTCTTAATCCCTTCAACTTTTTCACCCATTCCCCCAACCCCCTTCCCAACTGGCAACCAACAAAATGTTCTCTGTATCTATGAGAATGTTCCTGTTCTTCCTGTTCATTTTGTTTGTAGATTCCATTGTTGATAGATATGTATTCATTGCCATTTTGTTTGTTCATACATTTTATCTTTTTCTTTAAAAAGACCCTTCATCATTTCATATAACGGTTTGGTAGTGATGAACTCCTTTAACTTTTTCTTGTCTGGGAAAGTTTTTATATGTCCATCGATTCTAAATGACAGCTTTGCAGGATAGAGTAATCTTGGTTGTAGGTTCTTGCTTTGCATCACTCTGAATATTTCTTGCCACTCCCTTCTGGCCTGCAAAGTTTCTTTTGAGAAATCAGCTGACAGCCTAATGGGAACTCCCTTGTAGGTAACTAGCTGCCTTTCTCTTGCTGCTTTTAAGATTCTCTCTGTCTTGAACCTTTTGCATTTTGATGATGATGTGTCTTGGTGTGGGCCTCTTGGGGTTCATCTTGTTTGGGACTCTCTGGGCTTCCTGGACTTGTATGTCTGTTTCCTTCACCAAGTTAGGAAAATTTTCTGCCATTATTGTTTCAAACAGGTTTTCGATTTCTTGTTCTCGCTCTTCTCCTTCCGGCACCCCCAAGATGCGAATGTTGGCACGCTTGAAGTTGTCCCAGAGGCTCCTTACACTTTCCTCATTTTTTTGGATTCCTTTTTCTTTTTGCTGTTCTGATTGGGCGTTTTTTGCTTCCTTATATTCCAAATCGATGGTTTGCTCCTTGGATTTACGGACTCTGTTATTGAAGCTATGTAAGTTATTCTTTATTTCAGTTAAAGCCTCCTTCGTTTCTAACTGCAGCGATCATTTTTGACTGGTCCTTTTTTATGCTCTTGAGGCCCTCACTGAGTTCATTGAGTATCCTTATAAGCAGTATTTTGAACTCAGCATCTGTTAGGTTGCTTATCTCCATTTCGCTTAGTTCTTTTCTTGGGGTTTTGTTCTGTTCTTTCATTTGGGACCTGTTTCTTTGTCTCCTCATTTTGGCTGCCTCCCTGTGTTTGTTTTAGTGTATTACTTAACAAGAGGTATGGGGCTAGCTGAGACCAGATGCTGCTCGTTTGAAAGAATTTAGGAAAAACCTGAAGCAGGATCCAAGACAGGCCAATCCTATGGTTAAGCAAGTGCCAACAGCTTGGGTGGGCCTGAAAGTTGGGTGGGGCGGGGTGGGGCGGGGCCTCAGGGAGTCAGCAGGGTGGGGCTACCAGTGTGAGCCAGGTTGCTGGAGTCCCAGATATGGCGACCCCAGGGAAGGGCTCACCAAAGGAACAAAGGCCTCTTACAGCACGTTTGTCCCCGAGGAAGCCCCCTCTCCAGCCCTCGTTCCAGTGCCAAACAGCTCAGTTCTTCCCTGTATGTCTCTGGCGCCCCTCGAGCTGCCTCCGCTCCGAGCTTAGAGGGAGAGAGTCCGATAAGTCTGTGCGCCGGCCCTTTAGGGAGCCTGCCTGTGGCTCCAGCCAGGTCACCTTCCCTGAGCCTCAGTTTCCGCTGGGTTTTCCAGCCAGAAGTTATGGGGACTTCTCTTCCTGGCACTGGAACCCTGAGCGGGGCACCTGGTGTGGGACGGGGACCCCTCAGTCCTCAGGAAGGACCTTCCCAGCTGCGGGAGCCTTCTGATTTTTATCCGCCACACGTGGGTGTGGGACCAGCCCATCGCGCCACCGCCGCCACCCCTCGCGCTGCTGCCCCTCCTACTGGTCTGGATGTAGCTGCTTTTTTTTTTTTTTTTTTTTTTAATTCCATAGTTGTAGGACTTCCATTCAGCTTGATTTCAGGCGGTTTTGGATGATGGTTGTTCTGTAGTTTTGTTGTAACTTGGATGTGGTTGTGGGAGAACGCGATACTGCGTTTCCCTACTCCGCCATCTTGACCGGAAGTCCGGTGAGGTACTTTTTTGAGGATGAAAGGTGCTTACATTCACAGATACTCATAGTCCTGACCTTCTCTAGTGTACTGATACAGTGTTCTGTTTGAAGTTCTGAGACTCGGGTATACTCTCTTTAGGGCCATTTTACTGCTAATGGACATTTCAACCAAAGAAAATACTTTGGGAAAGAAAGAAAGAACTCAAAAGCAGACTTTTTTCAACCGTTTCCCAAGTAGTTTTAAGTCACATGAAGCATTATTGGTGATTGTTGAAAACATAGTTGGACTGTCTCATTTTTCACCAAGAAAAATGACTGTGTCCATCATTGGTAGGATTAAGGGTCAGAAACAAAAATGAAGATAACATAGTTTTTGGCCTGGAACTCACAGCCTAGATCATTTGGGTACCCCTAGATTCCATGCCAGGAAAACCCCAGGACTTTGAATGGAAGAAGGTCAGAAAATAGCACATCTTTTTTTTTTTTAAATCACTTAATTGGCAGAATTTATTTGAGAAGACTATAGTATGGTATATTGTCTATAGATAGAGTAATAAAGATGGATTTAGTATCATATTTGTTAAAATAGTACTAATGCTTTCATATTAAAATTTTTTGTTTATTTTATTTTATTAATTAAATTATTTTTGTTACATATATTTCTCTTTTTTTCCCCCAAGACACCCTCCTCCGGATCTCCCTGCTCCCAGGATTGTTGTCTATGTTCATTGGTTATGCATATATGCATATAAGTTCTTTGATTTGTCTCATCCCACCCCCCTCCTCTGAGGTTTGTCAGTCTGAACCATACTCCTTTCTATGTCTGTGGGTCAGTTTTGTTCATCAGCTTATTTTGTTCATTATATTCCATAAATAAGTGAGATAACGTGGTATTTGTCTTTCTCTGATTGGCTTATTTTGCTTAGCATAATGCTCTCCAGGTCCCTCCATGTCCTCTCAAAGGATAAGTGATCTTTCTTTCTTACATCTGCATACTGTTGCATTGTGTATATGTGCCACAGCTTTTCTATCCACTCATCTACTGATGGGCACTTGGGCTGTTTCCAGATCTTTGCTATTGTAAATAGTAAAAATTGCACATCCTTGATGGTGCAAATTCTTAAATTGTAAGGACACACATCAGCTAGGAGGTAGAGATGGAAACTCATTGATGGAAAGAGGGTTAAAAGTGCAGATTTTAATGAATCATCTTGTTCTGATCTATTGTAAGAGGTAATTGAGTTTGCCTTATTTTTGTATTTTTCAGATTCTACCAGCATTTTAAATCATTTTAAATGGCTAGTTTGTATTTTAATGATCTCTTTTTATTCTCTCCACCATGTTGGCTTTTCTGTTTGTGTATAGTTCTGGTGAAAATGAATTAGGAAAGGTAATTAATGAGACTGGATAACTCAGCTTCCTAGAATATACTTGATTTTTTTTCTCATGGAGTAATATGCTGCTTCTCTTATAGGACTGAATTGCAACTGCAGAAGCAACAACAGGTGAACCTTTAAAGATGCACATGGGGCTGCATAAAATGAAAAGAGAAACTGAAGAAACTAATGAAGTAAAAAAAACGTATATTTCCCAGGTAAGTAGTATGCTTCTGAATTTTAGCATGTTTCTTACTATAACAATTACCATAATATTTAGTCCTTGTATTGCTGTTAAACTTTCCTTCTCCTTCAGTGTTTATTGCTGAGCTCTTTGACTACATGATTCTTTTTTGAATTAATCTAAAAATCTGTATTGAAGACGCAATTTGGGTGATTTCTTGGATTACCTAGGAACCTGTTATGTCTTAGTTTGACCATCAGGTATTATAAAGGTCAAGTTGTGTGTTGTGTCTCTGTGATATGCAGGTTTAGTCTGAGTGCAGAACTTATATCTTCACTTTATTAAATGACTGCCTTGAAAAACTAGAATACTAGTTTGAACACCAGTTTTTTAAACTATATTCTACAAGATGGGTGGTACTGCCCTCAGGAATGAGAAACAGTTTTCAATGCGAAATTTAATGCTAAAAACAAGACAGACTGGTAACTAAATCAGTGTAAATATACATAGCCTTCACTTGATGAAATAGATGTGCCCTACTAAAGTTTTATTATTATTATTAATTTAGTTGAGAACTCAATTTATTCTGTTATTCAGCCACTTGCAAGCTTAGACTTGGGGGTTTTTGGTTGTTTTTGTTGTTAACATTTTTTAAATAAAGGAAATCCATTACATTCCTTTTCATTATAAAGTTAAGAGCCTTTTCAAGTACACCAAGTAGAGAATTTTGGAAAGAAAGCAGAGGAAATTGAGTCAGTCATTGGGTTATAGTACTGGAAGCTCTGTGCACAGCATCCTGATCGCATGGCAACATCACTCCTTCTCCACAGGCCTGGGGCCACCCACCTGTGGGAAATGGTGCTGCTGGAGTGTTCTGCCTGATGGTGGATTACAGCAGGCTCCTGTTGGATATAGGATGTATTCCAGCGTGCTCATTCATTAACTGAATCATCAGATTGAGTTAAAAACTACTTAGTGGCTTTGTATATCAGTCCTCTAAACTAAAAATGGCATAAAACAAGTTTATTTTCAAGTAAACTTACACTCACATGTCCTAATGCTCATCATCACCCCAAGTCCTGCCTCAGATCTCCTCTCAGATAGCCACATGGTTCCTTCCCTCCCCCTCCTTCAGGTTTTTGTGGTGGGGCAAAGTTAATGGGGAGGACAAAGCCAATTTTCTGTTAAGTCAACACAGAGCTATCTTGCCTAGCTCCACCTTACCTCATCTTCCCTGTTCCACTCCTACCGATCAAGTACCATATCTTGTTTATTCTACACATCATGCTTTTTGTTTCACCGTTGAGATCTTTTCAGATTAATCTTTCACTTTTCAAGGCACATGCCATTTAACTCAGCAATTGTATTTCTGGAAATTTATCTCACATACAAGTATGCAGGTAGTCCTACACACCTCAGCTTCTATTAAACCCTCAAGCATGCTTCCTAGGTCATAGCACTTGGACAGAGACTGTCTCTTGCTGCTATCATTCTGTTGTATCCATAGGTCATGTCTCCTCCTGCCTTTGTCTTGTGGTTCTTCCAAAATATTTTGGTTTTTCCTTTTAAAACATCTAATTCCTTTCTTTTTAAAAAAGTTCCTCTATGTTTTTTTGTGTTTCTTTTATCCTCACCCGAGGATATTTTTCCTTTTTTTTTTTCTATTTTTTTTTTTTGAAGCAGGGCTAGATTTTTTTTTTTTTTTTTATCCTCACCCGAGGATATTTTTCCATTTTTTGTACAGATAGAGTGGGAGGGAGAGAGAAGAAGGGAGAGAGAGAGAGAAACATCGACGTGAAGGGACACATCGAGTGGCTGCCACCCGCATGACCAACCAGGGCCGGGGACAAACTGCAACCGAGGTACATGCCCTTAGCAGGAACCGAACCCGGGTCTCTCTAGACCACAGGCCAACTCTCTAACCGCTGAGCCAAACTGGCCAGGGTCCTCTATGTTTTTTTTGGTTGGTTGTTTCTCAAGATCATTTAGTTTGTGTTTAGTTTGTATTGTATTTTTTATTTTATTTTTTTGCCAATACTTACAGCAATGGTTGTCCTCTATTCTTTATGTCATAGGCTATAGATTTTTGTATGTAGTGATTTTGATACATTTTATAACTTTCTTGTATCTTGCAAGCAAAATATTATTGGATTTTGTCTTCAACCAGTCTTGAAGATTTTATAAATTATGTGTGAATTTGTCATCTTTAATGTATGGTTCATAGTGCATTTGTGTTTTTGTATATAATTTTTTTTTAATCCTCACCCGAGAATATTTTTCCATTTATCTTCAGATAGAGCAGGAGGGACGGAAGGAGGAGGGAGGGAGGAAGAGAGAGAGAGAAACATTGATGAGAGAGAGACACATCAACTGGTTGCCACCTGCACAACCCCAACCGGGGCTGAGGACTGAACCACAACGGAGGTATGTGCCCTTAACCGGAATTGAACCTGTGACTCCTTGATCTGTGGGCCGACGCTCTAATCACTGAGCCAAACTGGCCAGGGCTATAATTTGTTTTTTAATTTTTACATTTCTTGTCCCTTTTCTGTTCTGTTATATGGCATGTTTTTTTCCTTCCTTTTTACTTTAAAACATTTTAAAGGTGAACAAACTTTTGAATTCTCTTAGTGCTAAAAATAATGTATGTTTCCTTATTTATTTACTATCATGAAAGCAAAAACAGGAACTTCCCTTTCCTTCCATATAAAGAAACTCTTTTCCTCCCTGTTTTGGCATCCCCTCTTTCTATTCCATATCTACTCCCATTATTTTTGTCTTTCACATTTTACATTTGTTCGATGAAGTGTACTAATTCTTCTGGGCTTCAGCCTGTTATTCATATGTATCTTGCTATTCTTGATTCAGGTAACAACCAGCACAGCCTCACATTGAGCTAGGTGCAGGAGAAACAGAAGTAAAGGCAATCTGTCCCTGATTTCAAGGTCCTTTTTCTGGTTGAAGAAATGGCATAGATGCAGATGAACAATGGCAAAGATGTGACATGTCAGGTGTCCTGGAGACACAGGGAGGGAGGGAAGAGGGAGTCAGCAAAGGCATCCTGGGAGCTGAGTGCTACTGTACCATTAGGATTATGTGAGATAATTGATAATCCTGAAGGTACCCAAGTCCACTGCCCCAGTTCATCAAAGCCTAAAGATACCAAGTGGCTGGAGATGAGACTAAGCCAAGGGATATTGGGGCCTCGAATGTCTGGCTGACAAGGAGGCTTTAAAGCAGGAAGTACCACACTCAGCTTTGTTTTTAGAAAGATAACTGTCATGTGAAGCACGAACTGCAGGGAGGAAGTCATTTAAGTGGCTGTGCAGTCATCCAGGTGAGAGACGATGGGAACTTGAACAAGGTGGTAGCAATGGTGATGGAGAAGTGAAGATGAGGTATTTTGAGGCAGAATGCAAAATTTCTAGTGTCTGACTCAAGTGAGACTGGGAATTAGAGGATGACTGAAGGTTTTTTTGTTTTAGGAAAGGTAATAATGGTGGAAATATTGACCAACTTATGGAGGGGATAAAGTATGTGGCGGGGGTAGCAGAGACTGATTTGGAGAGAGAGAAGAGTTTATTTTAGGACTTGTTGAATTAAGAAACCTTCAAGAGATCTGGGAAAACATATCTAGGAGCAGTTAACATGGGTCAGAAGCAGGTATGGTGTGGGGGCTGGAGACAAAGGTTCAAGATGCATTTGCTCCAAGGAGGATGCCAAAGTCATAAGAATAGATATAAAACCTCCCCCACCCCGAGATGGAGCATGTAGACAGAAAATAAAAGGGCTCAGGATGGCCTCTTGGCAAAGACCAGTCTTTATGTGTAGGCAATAGAAATGTACTGAGCACGATAATACATATCCAGTGTGGGGTGGCAGGAGCTTTTTCAAATGGCTTACTTTATCTTCTAGCTCTCTGTATGGAAATTATTACTGTCCTACTTTGCAGGCCAGGAAACTAAGACTCCAAGGCATTGTTACCAAGCTAGTCAATGGGATTGCAAACCAGGCCTGGATGCTAGAGGAAGAGGTGAGGCAGAAGCAAACAGAGGTGTGGAAGAGATGACTTTCCACAAGGGGCAGTGGCCAACAGTGTCCATACATCCAGAGGTCCAGTAGAACAAGGAGAAGTTAAGCCACTGGTTTTTGCAGCTAGACTACTTACAGTGATCCCAGCATGCTCAGTCTCCACTGACCACCTAAGTCAGCTCACACTGAAGTTAGAGGAACTGAGGGGATGTAGACAGTGGCTGCTGACTGCGGCTCTTGGAGACAGTTCGATGGTGGGGGGTGTCAAGGGCACCTGGTCCTGGGGGTGGGGGTGGCATCATTTTGTTTGTTTACAGATGACAGCTTGAAGTATTCTGATTTGCTCATCTTTTTTTTTCTTTGAGGTCTTATATCTAAGATTGTCTTGTCTCTGGGCTTCTATTACATAAAGAAAAAAATCAAAAGTAACTTGGCTGGATTCCCTTTCACATAATCTGCTTGCTTAACTTGTTTACTTGAGTTCTTTTTATTTTCTGTTCCTACTACACATTGTTTTCAGATGTTTCCAGGCTGTGTCTTAGTGACCCCTTTGATTGCTGATTATGTATGAGACCCTGGGAGCCCCTCCTGGTTTCTTCTCTCTGGTCTTTCCATTCTGGAGGTGGTTTTCTTCCATCTTTTGAACCTTTTGTTCAATTCAACTCCCTCCAGAACTCTAATTCATTGACTGTGTCTCCTCCTCCAGATGATAATTTGTTCTTGCATACTTTGACGACAAGAGAGAGTGATGCTAAGAGCATGCCCAGTGGAACTGGGCTGCCTGGGTCCAAATTTTGGGTCTACCAGCTACTAGCTGAATGACCTTGGAAAAGTTACTTAGCTTCTTTGTGCCTCAGTTTCCTCATCTGTAAACTAGAAGCAATAATAATACCTATTAGCAAGGGTTGTGATGAGGATTAAATGAACTTCTGCATGTGAAATGCTTAGAATGTCCAATGTCCAATGCATTTATTTCACCATCCTTTGTCGTTGTTGTTCTGG